CTTAACCTGCAGATAGAGGTACATCCAAGTTTGTCTCATTCTCACTTTATGTTCAGGCCTCATGCGAAAGCTCAGAACCTCCAGAATTCCCTGTCTAAGCTGCAGAGGCTGCACTAGCAGGACTATACAACTGGATTTCAGCATTGAAACTGGCAACCCAAATGAGTGACTCATGTGATGCTCATTCTCTTTTCTGATTGGATACTTGTCCAAATTATAACATAAACAGTTTCAACATCATATCAGATGTGTTTGTATTTAAAAATAAATCAGCATTACAGTTGTTATTAGCCAAAGTCATATTTGATTCAACCATGTCTAGCTCATATCTGGGAACACAGATAGGTCATGTGCTTGAAATGTATAATCAAAATCTTATGTACTACAACATATCCCTGATCTCTTGGAAATTCAAACCGCAAATGTTCAAACAACACTTAAACTACTTGTTATGAAGTAAACAAACAAAATGAGATGAAAAACAAAACCAATGGAAGAAAAAATTCATGAACTTTAAATCAGCACAGGCCTGATTTAAAGCTGTGAAAAAGGGGTTATTTGTGAGATAAAGTTAAAATGTGTGCTTCTTTTCTTTAGTATAATGATGATCTTATCACATGCACAAGACTGGGTTTGTTTAATGTTCCACCATGCATCTTATTGAACCACACATTTTACAGGAGGCATGACAGAGCGCCACTTCAATACTGCAAATGTAGCACTGAAGTAGTAGTAGTAGTAGTAGTAGTAGTAGTAGTAGTAGTAGTAGTAGTAGTAGTAGTGGTGGTAGCTTCTAACAGTGCTGTAAAGGCAGTGTTTTTTTTAGTCCTGTAGGAGAAGTAGTACTACTAGTGAAACTACTACATGACCCTGGGCTAGGATGTCAAAGTAGTAGTAGTAGTAGTAGTAGTAGTAGTAGTAGGAGGAGGAGGAGGAGGAAGAGTAGTAGGAGTGGAGTGGTTGAATAGTAGTAGTCAGGGTTTGGATTTAGCAGTTGTAGCAGTAATAGTAGTAGTCGTAGTAGTTGTTTTAGTAGTAGTAGTTATGTTGTAGCAGTAATAGTAGTAGTCGTAGTAGTTGTTTTAGTAGTAGTAGTTATGTTGTAGCAGTAATAGTAGTAGTTGTAGTAGTTGTTTTAGTAGTAGTAGTAGTTATGTTGTAGCAGTAATAATTTCTAGTCATGTAGTAGTAGTAGTACAGTGCAGTAGTAGTTTTTGTAGTGCAGTAGCAGTTTTTTAGTAGAAGTAGTAGAAGTAGTAGTTGTAGTATTAGTAATAGTTTTTTTGTCGTGTAGTACCTGAGTATCCGGTGGAGTGGGGGTCGCTCTCTGTTCTGCTGTTGACTGTTCCACAGTGAGCAGCTCTGCTCCTGAAACCTTCAACACGTCCTCCTTCACATGAACTATCTGGATCTCTCCCTCCTCCTTCTGAAAAACAAATATGAAAAATAGAAATTATTATTAATGCTGGGTCATATTTGATCGATTTAGAGGAGCATTTTTTATTTTGTTTTAACATATTCGTTATTATACTGTATGTGTTGTATATGGGAATAAGAAATTGACCAAATCTCACCTCCTCAGATGTAGTTTTCTCGGGTGGAGGCTGAAATGGAGATTGTCGGGGCTGGTCAGGCTGCTGGATAAACAGAGCCGGTACTTTCTGAAATAGAATTCAAGTTTATAGTTAGTTAATTAGTCTCATAAGAGAAGAGATGCTTGTTACACTATTCATTTACAATAAAAAAATAAATAAAAATAGCCATATGTTTTATGATTTATAGTTTCAGAAACAAATATTAAACCAACACGTTTAAAATACACTTTTATTTTAGACTATTTTTGTCTGAAAAGTTACACAATGGGGCTTTATTTAAATTATAGGTCCTGTGGTCATTAGTCATGCATATCCATATGTGTTTTGAACAAAACTGATCCTTTATTGTTGCTTTATTAAGTCGTACCTTCTGCAGTTCTTGGAGCAGAATCTGGAGATGGTCCACCACAGTGAACACAGTCAGGGTCTCCTCAGCCTTTTCTGGCAGCTCCAGGTGAGGTTTGCTGCTCTGAATATCGTTTATGGTCCTCTGCATCGCTTGGATCTTCTGCTCCACGATCTGAACCCAGTATTAGAGAATTAATTAATTATTAATTAATTGATTAATTACTTATGTGTCAGACACTGGTATTATAAAGGCCAGTTACTGTTTTGCTCAAGGACATACTGTTAAAACTTCACTAAATTTAATGCAACTTGGCTTTCACTATTTAGGTAATATAACATCCTCTTTGAGAGTTGAATGTCCCTGTGTCTTCATGGGGTCTTATTCTGTGTTCTAGTTTAGACCTCTACAAACATGTTCTGAAATACAAGGGATTCTTGGATGAGTTCAGCAGTCTTCACTCAAATGCTCCTGAACTAATAATTCAATAATAATAATAATCATTTATCTAATAAATTCTAGTAAATTTTATAATTGTGAATCTGACCTTCAGTCTTCGGACTTTGGGGCTGGGTAAACTCTCAGGAGAAGCCAGGAGCTGTTTAATTTCAGCCACATCGTTCTCCATTTTCCTCACTTCACCTTCAATGGCCTCCACCTCCTGCAACAACAAACAAACAAACAAACAAACATGTCACATACACTGTCACAGACAGACAATGTAAGACATGTAAAAACACTTTTTTGTTCAGTTTTCTTTTGTAACAGCAATAAAACTTTTTGATTATTTATTTTGGGCTTATCGATACACAGACACCAGATATGGCCACAGGCGTTGGAGTGTCTTGCTCAAAGACACAACATCGGTCAATACAGGCCAACACTGGGATTGAAACCTTTGAGTTTTGCTCTCAGTAGATAAATAAAGGTGACTGTAATTTAAGTTTTTGATCAGACTCACAGCAGCAGCGTGTTGGAGTTTGGTCAGAGGAGCGGTGAAACTGTCTTGGACTTGCGCCACCTCTCGGTCGGCCTCCTGGAGCTCGAGCTGCAGAGAGCTGACGTCACAAACCTGAGACATCTCCTCCAGAACCAGAGTGAAGCCCTGAAGAGTGGAGCGGATCTGAGCAGAGTCTCCCAGTACCACCTGAGAGAGAGAGAGAGAGAGAGAGAGAGAGAGAGAGAGAGAGAGAGAGAGAGAGAGAGAGAGAGAGAGAGAGAGAGAGAGAGAGAGAGAGAGAGAGAGAGAGAGAGAGAGAGAGAGAGAGAGAGAGAGAGAGAGGGGTGAATATTGATGGATTGTGCTTACTCAGATTATTATTATTATTTTTATATTTATTTATTTATTTATTTTGAAAGGGCGCATGCATCTGACTGTTGTGTGTGTATGACTTGAAGGCGTGCACGTGGCTGTAGTGTGTTTGTGCATGTGTTACCTGGAGAGCGTGCACGTGGCTGTAGTGTGTTTGTGCATGTGTTACCTGGAGAGCGTGCACGTGGCTGTAGTGTGTTTGTGCATGTGTTACCTGGAGAGCGTGCACGTGGCTGTAGTGTGTTTTGCATGTGTTACCTGGAGAGCGTGCACGTGGCTGTAGTGTGTTTGTGCATGTGTTACCTGGAGAGCGTGCACGTGGCTGTAGTGTGTTTGTGCATGTGTTACCTGGAGAGCGTGCACGTGGCTGTAGTGTGTTTGTGCATGTGTTACCTGGAGAGCGTGCACGTGGCTGTAGTGTGTTTGTGCATGTGTTACCTGGAGAGCGTGCACGTGGCTGTAGTGTGTTTGTGCATGTGTTACCTGGAGAGCGTGCACGTGGCTGCTCAGACACTTGGCGGTGGTGTAAGTGGCTGGAGCAGCGAGCCATGTTTTAGCCTCATTGATCCAACTCTTGGAGCTGTTGATCATCTCCTGGTGCTCCTGGAGCCAAGTGTGGATCTAGAGAAAGACAGAGACAGAATCAATGAACAAATGAAGCTCCAGCTTCACAAGGTGGAACAGAGTGTTTCCCATATGAGAGAAGAACTTAGCAGGGTTTTTGTGTTAAACATGTGTGAATGAAACAAAACACAGCTCCAGGTCTGTTTGTGATGAGGAAACAATATTAGAACAGAGATCAGAAAATAAAGCACTATGGAGCCTTTAAACTGGTTGTGTCTTGATCTAAACTCTCTGCCCGCATGTTAAATACTACATTTGTCTGCACCTTGCTGAGCACTGTGGTCCTCTGCTCTGCCTGTTTGGCCAGCTGTGAGTGAATCTGTTGAACCTCCACCAGACGCTCTGTGAGCACCAGCGCCTCCTGTGGTTTGTCCAGGTCCTGCAGATCTGCCTCCAGAGCAGCCAGACAGGAGTGCCACACGTCCAGCTCATCCCAAACACGCTACAGGGAGAGAGGGAGTCACTGGGATTGTTGTAGTAGATTTTAAATAAATAATAAGACAGAGCTTATACACATAATCGTCTCGTTTATACTTTGCCCTATTTCTCTCTGTTGCACTGACCTTCTGAGTGATCTTGGCCTCGGCTGCAGTGGGGCTCTTCTGGTCCAGTCTCTTCTGGAGCGAGTGAAGTCCTGACTGGATCTCGGACAGTTTGGCGCCGAGTCTGTAAACAGGACCACTCTTCTCCACTGCCTCATTCACCTGGAACCGAACAAAAACAATGAGTTAGCCACGTCATTTATACAAGCCTGGCTAAGACAGACAGAGAATATACAGAGAAGTTATTAGCTAATACAGATTCACGCTGGACGGATGTCGCCCGCACTGTTGGTGCACACGAGGTGGTTTACCTTCGGTTCGACTTGTTGCATGATTTGATTGGCGTCTTGTAGCAGAACCTCGATCTCACTCGGGATCAAACCGTCTGGCTCTGAGTATTTTGTTTGTATAGAGTTTGTGATCCGCTGCAGCAAAGCCTTCTGGGTAAACAGTTGGAGAAGCGCCTCCTGAAATCAGACATATGCATTACTGTTAATTATCTTATCTACCTAATTTTCTCTACTATTAACTTGTACAATAACTCTTTTGTCTTTTCATTAAAACACTACACTAGTCTATATCTCTAAATCAGTAAACCTCACTTGTTTCTGTAGCCCTGAGCCTGTTTTCATTGGGCCTTTTTCTCTGTGCAGTGACTGTTTCTCAGTACAAAAACTTTGAATGAATGGTTCTTTGGCTTTTGGCCCATAACGGTTTAGTCCCCAGACCCCAGAACCACTCCAGGCTGAAACATGACCCCACATTATCATCCCTGTATTCTGGGTTCTCTCTCTGTCGCCCCTGGACCCTCTAAGCAGAAGCTTTCACTACAATCTTTTTTGTACCAGTGTAAAATGATATGCAGGTGTCTGTACAGGGCAGGTCGCTGAGTTCACTGTACAACTGTGGGCAAGTTTTATGACAATCGGCCAAAACGTTACAAATCTGTACATGGACTAACTTAAGCTCTGAATTGGTAGTATTCAGTTACATTTACTTTTTAGAGAAATTTTACTTTACTTTTCTTGCTGCACACTTAAACTTGTGTAAGTTTACAAATGATAAAGCTTTATATGGACAATATGAAATGATTTGAACACTTGTGTTGCACCAATCTTCCAGATATGATTTAGTTTTTCAAAATTTTAGGCTTTGGCTAAATTAGGCTTTGAAAATACCAGAATTTGTGCATTATTTATTTGTCCTTCCAATGACACTTGAAATTAGAAATCAGATGTTACATCCTGACTGTTACTCTTTAAGTTCCTCTTACATGAGTTGTAGTTTTCTCAAATACTTTTTTACTCTTAATCCAGTAATTTCTTTGACCACTACTTTGTACTAAGTAACAAAACTCTTACTTGGGTACAATTTTGGCTACTTTCCCAACTCTGTGAATAAAGAAAGCTATCAGTATATTGGGAATAAGGGAATCTTCATAGAAATTTCAAAAATCATGCATCATGTATCAGAATTAAAATATTTAGGTGAAAAATGTATGAAACAATTCATTTCAAACATAAAAAAAAATTAAAAAATAAAAATAAATAAAGGAAATAAACAGAAGAACTTAAGTATGACATTACTTAATTGAACTAGAATAAGATACAACAGTTTGGTCCACACATTGTATTGTTCTATATTAGTTCTGGAGGACATTTCTGACCTGTATCTCGTGGGCGTTGCCGGTCTCAGGCTCTGACAGCAGGTGGTCTGCAGCCTCCAGCCAAATCTTCAGCCTCTGCAGCTCCTCTCGGCTCCTCTCTCTCTCCTCCAGCTCTGAACGAGAAGAGGCCAGGCCCACACTGCTGCGCTTACTCACACTGACAGAAGTTACAGAGGAAAATGTTAGCAATATTACTATTAGTTTTACCCCAGTCATATAAAAGCAACTCTTATGGTCACAAATATTACTCCTTCCCCCTTCAGTTTTTAAAAATCTTCATCACCTGTTGTATCTGGTCTGCATGGCCTGGAGCTGTTGACAGAGGGGAGTGGGCGGGGCTTGTTCAAGGTGGGCGGGGACTTCAAGCAGGCGTGCGACTCTGAGCTCGAGAGCGGAAAGAGCGCGGTGTTCACAGTCCAGTCGATCCTGATACTGCTCCCAAGACTGGACCCCATCATGAAGCTCTTCTGTACCCATCGTCAGGGGGGAGAGAGAGGGCAGCTCCGCCTCCACCTGAGACAGGACTGACTCCGCCTTCTCCACCTGTGAGAGAGGGCAGTTTTACGTTTTCATAACTGAAAAGGAACCTGTTCAAAGTTCATTTAAATGTGTACAGAGGAATTGACAAATGAAAAATCATTGTTATAGTTTCATAATTAATCTGCAGTTTCTCTTCTAGCTCTTACACTGTCGGTGATGTGGCTCCACTCGCTGATCCTTTGCTCACATCTGGAGCTCAGTTTCCTGGAGCAACGTCTGAGCCTTGAGACTCTCTCAAACAAAATGGCCACTGTTGTTTCTCTGCGTCGTCTGCAACTCGGCTCCTCACACCACTCCCTCAGATCAGTCAAGTGCCTTCTGCAGGGACTCTGCCTCTGAGCAAAGAGACTGGAAAACAGGCGAGCAGCATTACATACAGCATATACATATACAGCATTATCTAGAAAGATTTGATCTGACTTTGAAAATGGCATATGATTTTGTTTGTTAGTTTTTGACCAAGTAGCATGTTTGCAAATCTCAAACATTGTCCATACCTTGAGCTGTTCCTGTTGCTGGGAGCAGTGTCTCAGACAAGTCACTTTTTGGGTCATTAGTTCGTTCACACTCTCCTCTGCTCGCTCCAGTCTCTGAGTGATGTCATCACAGAGCTCACAGTAATGACTGTACTGCTCCACACAGCTGCAAACATTGAAACCAGACCATTATATTTAAACATGAAATAATGATCTAAATTTATGTACAGTAAAGATGCTGGTGAGATCTGTTACCTGTTGAGTTTCTCTAGCTCCATCTGCCCCTTCGCCTTCACTGTGGCCATCATCACCAGCAGCTGACTCAGGGTGTTCTCCTGGAGCTCCTTCACAGCGGGGGACTGGAGGCGATTTGGGGGGAAGCAGGTCTTCAGCTGGTCCGTGAGATTCTGGAAGTCCTGGTCCAGAGAGTCCAAAGACCGAAGGATTTGATCTGATCGCTCAGAGCAGAGTCCATGGAGTCCAAAGTGGTGTCGCAGACGGACTTCGGTGTGGTGGAAGAGGAGGATGACTCTTTTCACAGTGGCAGTGTAGGTTCTCAAAGACTGTCTGGTCTCAGTCATGCTCTCCTAAGAAAAAAACATTAAATAATAATAATAATTAAATAATAGAGCAAATGTTTTCTGTGAAAATTATACATTACTATTGTTATCATTTCCTTTCTTAATAGTTGTCTAAATCTGGTACATGTAGGAAGAAGCTTATATAGAATTGTGTATATGTGACTGCAACTATAGCTTAAAAATCATCAGAATACTGTTAAAGGAATGCTAAAACTTGAACTAAAACTAAGATACACAACACTTTTATCTATTTTGGTAGAAAGTGCATGCAAAATTCAAAATGTATTTAAATTTCAGTGCTGCATATAATCAAATAATGTACAGTTAATTAACAAACTCATTTAATATTCCTTACCAGTTGTTTGTCACACTCTTGCAGAACCTCCTTCTTCAGTTTGGTCACATCCTCTGCTCCTGGCTCTTTCTTCTTTGACTTCAATTTGAGCACGTCCCAGGCTCTCAGTCTTATCTCCACTGTCCTCCTCAAGGTTAAAATCCTCATGTATTCTCTGTCTGTATCTGCTTTAGTCAACTTCCCCTCAGTCTTTTTGTTCAAATCTTTGTTTATATTCTTCAAAAAGGCCACTGTTGCTTTAATTTCTATTCCCAAATCCATGTTTTTCAGCAAATTGCCTTCAGTGATGATCAAAGAATTTTCTAGGGAAGTTTCCATTGTATTCAGAGTCTCTTCTGTCTGTTTTACCCTCTGCTGTTCTGCACTTAACTGTGATGGGTAAAGATCAGTGGAAATGTCTAGCAATTTTGATTTAAGTTCTTGGCAAAGCACATTTATCGCAGGGAATTGCACAAACAAACTTTGGCATCGCTTGTATTTTTCAATATCTTCAGTTTCATCTTTAGCTTTTCGAACTTGGTCTTTCATACTCTCTTTCAGCTCCTCCAAGAACTTCCTCAAATTCAGGTACAACTCGTGATCAGTGGCTTTGGGTTCCAAGGTGGACAGTTTGTTTTCAAGATCACAGATAAAACCTTGAATTTCTTTGGATGTTTCTGGAGATGACCATTGCTCCAAACGTTCAACTTGCGATTTATGTTCAGATAGAGTGTTTTTCAGTGGTTGCAATGCTTGTATCGACTTGCTTGTAATTGGGAATTTTGGTCGGGTCACATCAGCAAGCATGTGCCTTATACTCTTTACAATTGGAACTAACTTTTGCTTGCTGGATTCAACCATTTTGATGCATTCCTCCACTTCTTGCTTGTTCACATTTTCCTTTTCAACAATATCATCTATGTCATCTTGTAGGTTTATAAGCCTGTCAAATAGCTGGCAATTCTCTGTGATGGTAAGTTCAGGGGCAATTTCTTTAGACTTTACCAATAGAGCTTCGCAAATTCTGGCTTGTTTTTCAGCTTCATCTTGTGTTTCTTGGGTTTTTCGTGCCTGACGTTCCAAATCTGGTAAGCTCTTTTCCAATTCAGGACTACTAACAGATTCTTTGTTCAAATAAGAAATAATCCATGCATCTAAATCTGCAATTTGTTGGGATAGCTTCTCTCTGGTTTGCAATCCTGACTCTGTTTTCCTTATAGCACTGACCAGCTTTTCAGCAGTCAACTTGGACAATTCTTCAAGAGATTTCAAAGATGCGCTGATCATCGGGATCTCTTCTTCTTCATCCAATTGTGGTAAAAGCTCATTCACTTCCTCCACTAGCTCCTCCAGCTGGCCTTGATTGGTCATTACTTCAGATTGTAGCTTCTTTAGATCTCGGAGTTGGTGGTGGACCTGTTCAGGAAGCAGTGACACCCTCTTTTGTCTACTTTCAATGTCTGTTTCTGTCTTTTTGGCCCAAGCAAATGCATCTCTTATTACGGCAACGATCTTCTCCATTATCGGATTACTGCTGATTTTGGTTTTGGAAATTATTGTTTTCTCAATTTGTCCAAGTTTATTTTCAATTCCTTGAATGCCATCTTGAATTTCTTTGGTGTCTTTTTCCCATTGTGAGTTGGGGAGGATTTTGTCTGTTTGAGCTTTCAAATAGCAGAATTTCTCATTTGCAGCGCTAAGTTCCGCATTCAAAATAATTAAATTTTGTGCCTCATTGCAATTCCACTCTTCATTCTTAATGTTATTGAGCTCATCAGCAATATCTGCCAGTTGTCCTTGCAAGTTGGTCATCTCGGTCTTGATGCTGTCTGTCTCATAGATAATAGCATTTTTGTTATAGAGGGATTTTTCAACGGTTTTCTCAATAAGTCTCCATTGGCTTTGCAGAGTTTTAAGGGTGTTTTGAACAGCAGCCCTCTCACATTTGGGGAAAATTATGTATAGTTTTCTGTAGATTATCATCAGTTGAATGAAGATGGTCCGTCTCTTCTCCAAAGTCCTCTGTAAAGAGCTGAGACGTTCAGCCTCTTCAGAGCAGCTTTCACCTGGAGACCTGAAAAACAAATATAAAAAAATATAACATGAGATTTATTGTTTTTACTGATATGAACAAATGTTAAAAGTGTTAAAAAGTTGAGGGAGATAAAAAAAAAAAAAAAAACTGCAATAGATACTATGTTCGAAAAAGATTCAGGAGACATTGTGTATTGGTATGAACTTAACTGTGTATACCACTAATAATTAAGATTCATAGATACATTACAATTGTTTTATTTTTATTATTTTTTTACAAAAACATTAATTTGTGAACTTTACTACAACTTAATAAAATACTTTTGTGAAACATTATAATATATCTTCCCCTCACATTACCACTCCTTCAGTTGTTGGAGTTAAGTTTTGTTTAAAAACACACTTTTATTGACTTTCGTTTTCGATTTTACATTCTTCTAGTAATTTGAGTATTTTTTATAGTTTTTATTGTCTTTCTCATACTTACTTTTTAATACTATTTTTATACAATGTGCTTATTGATTTTGTGTTTACTCTAGACACTGTGTGTTGGTAAAATGTAGAACTGGATATAAGTATTGACTCAACATCAAATAAATAAATACATATTGAACCATTCCTATTTGTATAACAATAATTCACAGACCAAAGATGCATTAACAAAGGATTTCTATTTTTAATCAATTTCAGTACTATACTCACTCTGTGACAATGTCCAGTTCCCTCCTCAGCTCCTCCAGACTGGTTTCAACCTCCTCCAGTTGTTTGCTGTAGTCAGTGACCAGCTGCAGTTCAGCTTCTTTCTTTTCTATCACCGAGTCTAAGTCCTGGACAGAGCTTCTCCACTGATCCTCCACCAGCTCTGAGGCCTGTGAGCTCACCTCTCCCCCTCTCCTCTGCTCGGAGAGGAGGGCGACCTGGGCTTTGGCTGCCTCTCTGCACTCCTGGACCAAACAGAATGAAAGGTTTACACTTCTGCTTACAAGAACATTGTGAAACCATCGCTAATATATGAGACTATACTAAAAAATTAGGAGCTCATTATTTGCAAATACCTTCAAACTAGAAAAATTATATTGTTACTACCAAGACATCAGGTAAACAAAGTCAGGGCAGTTTCAGGCATAACTCCTCTTTTAAGTCTGATCTATTTCAGGGCAGTATACTAGTAAGTTTCACTGTGAAGTACCATTAGACTGAAAGTGACTCCCTAATGACAGTTGAATATCAATTTCAAACAACTGTCCCAATGACTACATTAAAACTGTTTTCTACTACTGTTAATACATTTTAAAAGACTCTTCTCTGAAGGAAATGTGTTTATGTGCTGTATAGGTTTGCTAGTCTATGTAAGTAAATGGGAGGCCATGTAATGTGAAAAAGAGATCTGGAAAATTTGAAAAAACTGAATGCCCATGCACACAAAAATTCATCTAATCTTGTTTTGCATTTTGACAGTAAACTGAAATAATGATCCAATAATAGGTCATTTAGTCTCACCTTTGCCTGTTTGAGTTGCTGTTCCACATCAGTTGGGCTCAGTGTTGCGGGTTGGTTCTTACACACCAGGACTTTGCAGTGGAGCTGGTTTGTTCGATCCTGTTCTGGAGCGGCTCTGGTTGAGGTGAACTGAGTCTCTGGGCTCTCCTCCACTGGCCTCACCTGAATTACAATATCACAGACTATTTTAGACTTAAAAAAAAAAAAAAAAAAATCTCATTTCAGGTTTTTCAAATAACTAAAAGATTGATGTATATGTTAACAAGAAATAAAAGCAAGTTCAAGGGCCTAGTTAAGAATTCAAATTCAAATCTTTCATTTTGTACATTTTTTAATGAAATCTGAAAGGCAGCAATATATTAATGAATAAATTGACACAATACATAAGAGGAGAACCTCATGAGGTTTGAACCGCAGATCCCGCAGCTGCTGGGCAAGTGCTTAACCTAACCATTTAAAAATAAAACCATCTTGGTATTATATAAGAGCTACTTAGACCTACTACATTTGACAAATGCAAATTATCCATAACTTTTGTACCTTGAGAAGCTGGCAGCTTGGTCCAGATTCCACAAGGAGGTCTATCTCTGAGAAAATGCCCCTCAACACGGATTCTTCTGGCTCCTTCCAAACTTCCTCTTCGACAACTTCAGATTCAGTTAAAGATTCCTCAGCATCCTCCCATGTTTCCTGAAAATAATGTTTTAGGACTCATGAAGTTAGGGAGTTAGAATGAGTTAAGTACAACATGATAACACATAATAATGTTGGTTACACTAATGCAGTTAAAAATGTCAAAATGTAAATCAAATTTGAAGCGGAAAACTGCATATCGCATTAGCAATGAAGGTCGCAACTAGCATGCTAAACTACACAATAATACATATAATGCAATCCGTGCAGATGGCTTGTGAATGAAAACATGATGTGGTGCTATGGGATGGTGAACATTTATAACTAAACTAGGAAAGTGACATTAATGGTTATGAGTGATGGAGACCTGTTGGAGAGGTGGTATTAGAATTTGAAGGATTATTTGGTGATTTAAGTACAATTAAATGTTCTACAAAAATCACATTTTCTTAAAATATTGAATAACTAAAATTACCTGGGGTGTTTCCAATTCCTGAATCTGCACTTCATCTGCACTGGTTGTAGGAGTCATTTCTGGATACTCTGCAGTTTTAATGACTTTGCTTTGCTTTGCTCCTTCTTGTTGGATTTCTTCAGTATCACCTTCTTGAGATGGTTCTTTGGTAACTTGTTCTGGCATCTGTAACTCAATGCTTGTTTGCTTTGGGTCAAATTCAGGTCCTCTCTCAAATGGAACAGCTTCTTGTTTCATTTTTTCTTGCATTTTTACTTTCACAATTGTCTCTGTAACTGTTTCATATACAACTACTGCTGTCTCTTCAATTTGCGAAGACATACTTGGAGCCAATTCTTCAGGAGTTCGTGCATCACCTTGGTCTTGAATGGTAGAAGCAATTTCAGATTTTGGTTGTCTAGGCCTGTCCCAGTCTTTTACGTGGACTTCCACCTCTTCATACTTTTCATTATCACTAGAATCATCAAGTGCTTGCATCTGTGAGGGTTGTTTTGGGATTTCAAGCACCTCAAATTCCAATTCTGTTTGTTCAACTGCAGGTGGTTCTGATGTTAACAATATTGTCAATTCAGCCTCTTGTATCTCTTCTGTTACTGGACTATCAAGTTCATCTGTCTGTGTTTTGGTGTCAGTGGCTGTCATCTTTTCATAAGATTCAACTTCACTCTCAAATGGAATAACTTCTTTAGATTTTTCCTCAGTTTGATCAGACTTTTCAACATCAACTCCTTCTATTTTTGAGGTTTCTACTGGGATCTCAAGCACCTCAAATTCAGCAGGTGGTTCTGCTGTTAACAATATTGTCAATTCTTGTGCCTCTTCTGTTGTACCTGTTGCTGGGCTGACAAATTCATCAGTGTCTGTTTTGGATTCAATGGCCAGTTTAGGTTCAGTATTGTCCTCATGCTCTTTGACAACAATAACTAGCATATCATCATCTGTTTTGTCTGTTTTCTGGGGCTCGTCCTTGTCTTGTGTTGCGTTAAGTGTGCTAATTGATGAAGTTACCCTTTGTTGAGGTTTTGTACTAGGTTGTTCGAATTCTGGAGTCACACATGCTGTTTCAACCATTTCTAGTGCTTCTAATGCTACTGTCTTGGTTAATTTAGATTTTTCAAGCTCAGTTGTGGCCTTAGTATCAATAGAAGGTTGAGCAATGTCAGCCATAGCTTCTGGGTGTTTCTTTTCTCTGCTTGTCTGTACCATTTCATGTGTAGCAATGGTTTCAAGGGTAGTAGTTTTTGTTGGCTCAGTAACAGACGAAGAAATAGATGTCTCAACAAGTTTAAGTTCATTTAAGGCCAAAATTTTTCTTACATCAGTTTCTTCAGGTTCGGTTATTGCTTCTTCTTGCATGATAGAACTTAATTTGACCACTTGTGTTGCTTGTTCTACTGGAAGCACTCTGTCCAATTCCAAATCTTGATCTTCAGTTTTGTCAGTGCTTTGCTCTTTGGGGGTAATATTTATAGTTTCAACTGCATCATGCACTGTGTCAGGCCTCGGAATCAAAGTTGTAGCTTCCCTAATAGTAGTTTGAACCATTTGGTTAACAGCATCAACAACTATAGATGGTAATGCTTTAGTTGACTCAGCCTCTTGTGGTGTAACTGTTGGCAAGACATCAGAAGTGGGTTGAATTGTGTCACTTGTATCAGTGCCTAGATGTTTGTCCATCTTCTCTTTTGCTGTTTCAATCTTTGGTTCTTGAAGTCTTTCTGCTCCAATTTCTGCATAAACTTGTTTTTTTGGTGGTTCATCGCCAACAGACTCTCTACGTTCTCCTTGTAATACTGGCACTTTCTCCTTCTTCACTGCTGTTTCGAATATTGTTGTCTTTGACTTAGATGGAATTACTTTTCTGGATTCAATCTTTTGAGTAGGTTGAAACTGCATTGTTGTTAGAGTATCAGTAAAGGTTTCAGCAACTTCAGTTGGACTTACTCCTGGATCTTCAATGACGCCTACACTTTCTTGTCTTCTTAGGCGCCTGTGTGAAATTTCAGGAACTTCTTTGACAAGATCTTTATCTTCATCTGATGGACGCATAGCAACCTCAGACAATATTTCTTGCTTTGTTTCTTGCAATTCTGTTTGCGCAATAGCTAAATCTTCTTTAACAAATACGTCGTCATCCTTGTCTTGAGTTGCCAATTTGGGTTGTTCAATTTCCTGCTCAAGTGCTTGTGCTGCAACTCTCATCATGACCACAAAAGACTTTTCTGGCACAGTCTTAGTTTCTTGAATAGGTTCACTTGGTTTAAATTGTTGTTGCTCCTCTGTTATGTCTTGGTCTTGATAAATTTTAACTACTTCTTTGATATCTTCTGTAGGGTGATCTTGTTTTATTTTGTCCTGTTTAGCATCCTCTATTACTGGCTGCTTTTTAACTTTAACTAAATCAGTGGGCTTATCACTGTCACCCTCTTCCATTGGTGGTGTTTTTGTGGCAATTTGTTCATTATCAGTTTCAATAGTTTTGCTTTCTAGTTGTATTCCAGAGTATGGGGTCAATTCAGGCTGTTTGTGTATTAATTCTGGACTATCTGGTTCTTCCTCTACAGACGTTTGAGTTTGGGGAGAGACACCGGTAACAATGCTTTCTACACCTAGAGTAATTTCTCGAGCTGCTTCCTTCATAAGCTCAATGAATGATTTTTGTGGTTTGGTTTCTTGACCCTTAGGCGTTGTTTGTTTTTCTATAGAGACTGCTTGTATTGGCTTCTCCTGTGTCTGTATTTTGATTGCATCTACAATTCTTATGCCACTGTCTGGTTGTCCTTTTGAAGCAGAACCTACTGATTCTCCAACTGTATCTTCTTGTGCTGGTACTTGATCTTGTGTTGTTATTTCTTGGTCAGACAGACCACTTGGTTTAGTTTCAATATCAAATTTGCATTGCTCCATTTCTTCAGATTTTGTTTCAGTTGGACTTGAAATTTGCTTGACATCTGAAATCTTGTACAATTCAGCAGGGATAGATTCATCAACTCCAATCATCTCAGAGTCAACCTTTGGCTCAATTTCCAACACATTTTCTTCAACTGTTGTCTCAGTTGTTGTTGTAATCACTCTTACTTCTGGTTCCTTTTGCATTTTCTGAAGTCCTTGTTCATATAAACTAATTTCAACAACATCTGTCTTAGTTTTATATGGTTCTTCCGGTAGCAAAATAACAGCCTCATTTTGCACCCTGTCTCGGGTTTCTGGCCTACTGCCTTGCACTTCAATTTTTATTGTCTTGGCAGCAGCCTCGCTCAATGTACCTTCATCTGTGCTTTGAATGCTAGTTTCAATCTCAATTTGTGGTTCTTTGACTATAGTGACAAACACATTTTCATTTTCTTCTTGGCTTTTGGGTATGTCCACTTGTAGATAGCAAATTGGTGACGTTTTCTCTTCTGCCACCATCTCATCTTCAGCTTCTTCTGCCTCTTTTGTTGTTTTGAGAAGTTTTACCCTAATTTCTGTCTCTCCTGGCTCCATTGTGTCAATTTCAGCTAAACTAATTTGTGCAAATGTTGCGGCAAGTTCATGAGGCTTCACTGCAAAAACTAAAGATGTGGGCTCATGGACTTCAACCGTTGTAATTTCCCCAGTCGGTCTCCTATCTGGACTTCGGTCCGATCTAAATCTCTCAATTTGTTCAGTTGTGATGGTAATGGTTTCTTCAATTTGAGTGTTTATCTCAAACACAGGCATATCAGATTTGTCCAATACAGCAGTAATGTCTTCCAGACTTTGAGGAACTTGCCCAGCTACTGTGTCTCTGAAGAATGTTTCTTTAACTTTCGCTTCTAGGTCTTTGCAAGTTGTTTTTGTAGCATCATCTTGACTTGACTTGGTAAAAATTTTGTTTTGTTCATCTTCAGTAGAAGTTCTTAGTCCTATCTTGACTTCTGGTGTTTCTGATCCTACAGCCTCCGCCCTCTTCAAAATGTATTCTTGTGAATCTTGAGATGTTGGGTCAACTGAATCTTCAAGCAGTTTCCTCTCCTTCTCCAAGTCTTCCAAATGATCTTGTAGCGTCTGGATTGGTTTGCTCTTTTTGATTATTTTCGTGTCTTCCAAGACATCTAATTTGATGATTTTCTTGCTTTCCACAACCTGCAAGTCAGAAAGCATGTCTTCTGTCACTTTTGAATCTTGCAGCCCACCCATCTGGCTTGCAGTGCCAATATCTTGATTCTTATCTTCAGACTTAAATTTACTGTCTCCATGCAAATCTACATGCACTTGCTTAGCATCTGGATCCATTTTTACTATGTGCCTTTCTTTCATTTCCGACTCCTCTTGTTGAATTTCATCAGGTCTATCACTCTGCAATTCAACATGAGTCTCTTGCACATTACCCTTATCAATTAGAACATCTAGCATGAATTCAATGTGGTCTGCTGTGTCTATATCTAAGTTTGTGATAGATTGTGCTTGTTGATGCTGCAATTCGGCGGTGATAGACTGAACAACATGCAAATCATCATGCATTTTTACACACTCAAGCTCCATGCCTTCTACTTGTGAACCTTGTGCTGCTTCAGGTACCTTTTCTTCACTAACACTAGGGCTGGATCCCTCAAAGTCCTTAAAGTCCTTCTCTTTTAGGGTCTGATCTACTTGGATCTCAACATTGCATATTATTGAGTCACGTTTGTCAGTTTGTTTGATTTTGTCTAGATTTTGTTTTTGACTGCCTGACTGTAATTCTGTCAAATCTACATTGTAATCAGTATCTAAATAATCAGTATCCTTATCTGTTGTTTGTTTGATAATACCTAAATCATCATTATCATCCAAAATAAAAGAAACTTCAGGGGCAAGAATTTGAGCTTTGGGATAATCATCTGCACAGATGGCTTCCACACCTTTTGTAATTTCCTGCACTGCTTCTTTGATGAGATCAATGAATAATGGCTGCTTCTTAATTTCTATAACCTTACAACTTACAACTGTTTCCAATTTGGAGACTGTTGCATCACTAGCTTTGTAAGTAGTCGGTTTTGTACAGTCCTCTGAAGACAATAAATCCTGAGCTATAGAAAATTCTAAATCTGGACTGTCTTCTGATGCAGTCACTTCTAAATCGTGGGACAGAGGTTTCTGGGTGACAGTGCCTTTTGGTGGTGGTAATGCAGGTTCAATTTGTATTTCTGCCTGAAGTGCTGTTGGTTGGATCTCAAACACCACCAAAGTTGGTTCTTGGGGCTCAATTTGAACACTGTCTTTGGGCCTTTCCAGTGGAGTTTCTTTGTGTTTTTCTATTTGTTGAACCTGCTCTGTTGGCACTGCCACAGTTTCTGGAAGAGGTTGAGTTATTAGTTTTTTGTCTCCTTCAGTGGTCACTATCTGTGGCTCAGTAGAATCAGGTTTTATTTCTTGGAAGTCAGAAGGCACTTCCTCCTCCCCACGACCCTTGTCTTTGCTTGTCTTTTTGGGTTTCTTTGTCTTTTTCTTTTCTTTGGTTTTGGAGACTCCAGTCTCACTCAGTGTTTCAGTGGTCTTCATTTGACCCTCCTCTGAAGGTAACTCACGCTCAGCTGTTGGGCTACGTGGTTCATCAGACTCAGTAACATCCAAGACAGGGGTTTCTTCTGCTAGGGTAATGTCTAAACTTTCTTTTGGTGATGGTAAATCACTATCAATTTCTGCATGAGGTTCTGTTGGTTGAATCTCAGAAACCACACCAGCAGTTGGCTCTTGGGGCTGAATCTGAACAATGTCTTTGGGCATTTCTAGTGGAATTTCTTTGTCTTTTTCAATTTCTTGGACCTGCTCTGTTGGCACTGATACTGTTTCTGGCTGAGGTGGAGTTATGAGGTCTTGTTCTTCAGAGGGAACTAATTTTTCCTCTGTTTCTTTGATCACACCCTGTGGTTCAGTAGAATCAGGTTTTACTTCTTGGAAGTCAGAAGGCGCTTCCTCCTCCCCACGACCCTTGTCTTTTGCTTGTCTTTTTGGGTTTCTTTGTCTTTTTCTTTTCTTTGGTTTTGGAGACTCCAGTCTCACTCAGTGTTTCAGTGGTCTTCATTTGACCCTCCTCTGAAGGTAACTCACGCTCAGCTGTTGGGCTACGTGGTTCATCAGACTCAGTAACGTCCAAGACAGGGGTTTCTTCTGCTAGGGTAATGTCTAAACTTTCTTTTGGTGATGGTAAATCACTATCAATTTCTGCATGAGGTTCTGTTGGCTGAATCTCAGAAACCACACCAGCAGTTGGCTCTTGGGGCTGAATCTGAACACTGTCTTTGGGCATTTCTAGTGGAATTTCTTTGTCTTTTTCAATTTCTTGGACCTGCTCTGTTGGCACTGATACTGTTTCTGGCTGAGGTGGAGTTATGAGGTCTTGTTCTTCAGAGGGAACAAATTTTTCCTCTGTTTCTTTGATCACACCCTGTGGTTCAGTAGAATCAGGTTTTACTTCTTGGAAGTCAGAAGGCGCTTCCTCCTCCCCACGACCCTTGTCTTTGCTTGTCTTTTTGGGTTTCTTTGTCTTTTTCTTTTCTTTGGTTTTGGAGACTCCAGTCTCACTCAGTGTTTCAGTGGTCTTCATTTGACCCTCCTCTGAAGGTAACTCACGCTCAGCTGTTGGGCTACGTGGTTCATCAGACTCAGTAACATCCACGACAGGGGTTTGTTTAACTGGAGTAATTTCTGAATCTTCTGGCAGAGGTAGAGTTTCTTTATTTTCGCATACCATCAATTTCTGTTCTTCTGGTTTAATTTTAAGACTTGTTTCAGTGTCTTTTGGTGATGGTACATCACTATCAATTGTTATTTCTGCTTGAGGTTTTGTTGGTTGAATCTCACAAACCTCCAAAGTTGGCTGTTGTGGCTCAATTTCATCAGAATCTTTCTTTGATTCCAGTGGGGTTTCTTTTTCCTCCTCAGCTGGTTGAACCACCTGCGGTGGTACTGTCACTGATTCCATCTCGGGCTGAATTTGAATTACATTTTGCGTTGATTCGTTTGTTAATTCTGTTTCTTTTGGTAGAGATTTTGACTGATCCGCGGAAACGGCTGTCTCTTCCTCATCCAACTTTTCAGTTTTGGAATAATCAGTGGTAAATATTGTTTCCACACCTTTTGTAATTTCCTGCGCTGCTACTTTCACAAGATCAACGACAGATGACTGTGACTCAACATCTGTGGCCTTTAACTCAGCACTTGGATCCTTTTTGGAGACCTCAGGCTCACTCTCTTTCAACTCCTGTGGCTCAGCTTGAGCAGTTGTATCGATGTCTCTTGGGGATGGTAAATCACTATCAGTTTCTGCATGAGGTTCTGCTGGCTGAATCTCAGAAACCACACCAGCAGTTGGCTCTTGGGGCTGAATCTGAACACTGTCTTTGGGCATTTCTAGTGGAATTTCTTTGTCTTTTTCAATTTCTTGGACCTGCTCTGTTGGCACTGATACTGTTTCTGGCTGAGGTGGAGTTATGAGGTCTTGTTCTTCAGAGGGAACTAATTTTTCCTCTGTTTCTTTGATCACGCCCTGTGGTTCAGTAGAATCAGGTTTTACTTCTTGGAAGTCAGAAGGCGCTTCCTCCTCCCCACGACCCTTGTCTTTGCTTGTCTTTTTGGGTTTCTTTGTCTTTTTCTTTTCTTTGGTTTTGGAGACTCCAGTCTCACTCAGTGTTTCAGTGGTCTTCATTTGACCCTCCTCTGAAGGTAACTCACGCTCAGCTGTTGGGCTACGTGGTTCATCAGACTCAGTAACGTCCAAGACAGGGGTTTCTTCTGCTAGGGTAATGTCTAAACTTTCTTTTGGTGATGGTAAATCACTATCAATTGTCTGCATGAGGTTCTGCTGGCTGAATCTCAGAAACCACACCAGCAGTTGGCTCTTGGGGCTGAATCTGAACACTGTCTTTGGGCATTTCTAGTGGAATTTCTTTGTCTTTTTCAATTTCTTGGACCTGCTCTGTTGGCACTGATACTGTTTCTGGCTGAGGTTGAGTTATGAGGTCTTGTTCTTCAGAGGGAACTAATTTTTCCTCTGTTTCTTTGATCACGCCCTGTGGTTCAGTAGAATCAGGTTTTACTTCTTGGAAGTCAGAAGGCGCTTCCTCCTCCCCACGACCCTTGTCTTTGCTTGTCTTTTTGGGTTTTCTTTGTCTTTTTCTTTTCTTTGGTTTTGGAGACTCCAGTCTCACTCAGTGTTTCAGTGGTCTTCATTTGACCCTCCTCTGAAGATAACTCACGCTCAGCTGTTGGGCTACGTGGTTCATCAGACTCAGTAACATCCAAGACAGGGGTTTCTTTAACTGGAGTAATTTCTGAATCTTCTGGCAGAGGTAGAGTTTCTTTATTTTCGCATACCATCAATTTCTGTTCTTCTGGTTTAATTTTAAGACTTGTTTCAATGTCTTTTGGTGATGGTACATCACTATCAATTGTTATTTCTGCTTGAGGTTTTGTTGGTTGAATCTCACAAACCTCCAAAGTTGGCTGTTGTGGCTCAATTTCATCAGAATCTTTCTTTGATTCCAGTGGGGTTTCTTTTTCCTCCTCAGCTGGTTGAACCACCTGCGGTGGTACTGTCACTGATTCCATCTCGGGCTGAATTTGAATTACATTTTGCGTTGATTCGTTTGTTAATTCTGTTTCTTTTGGTAGAGATTTTGACTGATCCGCGGAAACGGCTGTCTCTTCCTCATCCAACTTTTCAGTTTTGGAATAATCAGTGGTAAATATTGTTTCCACACCTTTTGTAATTTCCTGCGCTGCTACTTTCACAAGATCAACAAAAGATGACTGTGACTCAACATCTGTGGCCTTTAACTCAGCACTTGGATCCTTTTTGGAGACCTCAGGCTCACTCTCTTTCAACTCCTGTGGCTCAGCTTGAGCAGTTGTATCGATGTCTCTTGGGGATGGTAAATCACTATCAATTTCTGCATGAGGTTCTGCTGGCTGAATCTCAGAAACCACACCAGCAGTTGGCTCTTGGGGCTGAATCTGAACACTGTCTTTGGGCATTTCTAGTGGAATTTCTTTGTCTTTTTCAATTTCTTGGACCTGCTCTGTTGGCACTGATACTGTTTCTGGCTGAGGTGGAGTTATGAGGTCTTGTTCTTCAGAGGGAACTAATTTTTCCTCTGTTTCTTTGATCACGCCCTGTGGTTCAGTAGAATCAGGTTTTACTTCTTGGAAGTCAGAAGGCGCTTCCTCCTCCCCACGACCCTTGTCTTTGCTTGTCTTTTTGGGTTTCTTTGTCTTTTTCTTTTCTTTGGTTTTGGAGACTCCAGTCTCACTCAGTGTTTCAGTGGTCTTCATTTGACCCTCCTCTGAAGGTAACTCACGCTCAGCTGTTGGGCTACGTGGTTCATCAGACTCAGTAACGTCCAAGACAGGGGTTTCTTCTGCTAGGGTAATGTCTAAACTTTCTTTTGGTGATGGTAAATCGCTATCAATTTCTGCATGAGGTTCTGCTGGCTGAATCTCAGAAACCACACCAGCAGTTGGCTCTTGGGGCTGAATCTGAACACTGTCTTTGGGCATTTCTAGTGGAATTTCTTTGTCTTTTTCAATTTCTTGGACCTGCTCTGTTGGCACTGATACTGTTTCTGGCTGAGGTGGAGTTATGAGGTCTTGTTCTTCAGAGGGAACTAATTTTTCCTCTGTTTCTTTGATCACGCCCTGTGGTTCAGTAGAATCAGGTTTTACTTCTTGGAAGTCAGAAGGCGCTTCCTCCTCCCCACGACCCTTGTCTTTGCTTGTCTTTTTGGGTTTCTTTGTCTTTTTCTTTTCTTTGGTTTTGGAGACTCCAGTCTCACTCAGTGTTTCAGTGGTCTTCATTTGACCCTCCTCTGAAGATAACTCACGCTCAGCTGTTGGGCTACGTGGTTCATCAGACTCAGTAACATCCAAGACAGGGGTTTCTTTAACTGGAGTAATTTCTGAATCTTCTGGCAGAGGTAGAGTTCTTTATTTTCGCATACCATCAATTTCTGTTCTTCTGGTTTAATTTTAAGACTTGTTTCAATGTCTTTTGGTGATGGTACATCACTATCAATTGTTATTTCTGCTTGAGGTTTTGTTGGTTGAATCTCACAAACCTCCAAAGTTGGCTGTTGTGGCTCAATTTCATCAGAATCTTTCTTTGATTCCAGTGGGGTTTCTTTTTCCTCCTCAGCTGGTTGAACCACCTGCGGTGGTACTGTCACTGATTCCATCTCGGGCTGAATTTGAATTACATTTTGCGTTGATTCGTTTGTTAATTCTGTTTCTTTTGGTAGAGATTTTGACTGATCCGCGGAAACGGCTGTCTCTTCCTCATCCAACTTTTCAGTTTTGGAATAATCAGTGGTAAATATTGTTTCCACACCTTTTGTCATTTCCTGCCTGCTACTTTCACAAGATCAACAAAAGATGACTGTGACTCAACATCTGTGGCCTTTAACTCAGCACTTGGATCCTTTTTGGAGACCTCAGGCTCACTCTCTTTCAACTCCTGTGGCTCAGCTTGAGCAGTTGTATCGATGTCTCTTGGTGATGGTAAATCACTATCAATTTCTGCATGAGGTTCTGTTGGCTGAATCTCAGAAACCACACCAGCAGTTGGCTCTTGGGGCTGAATCTGAACACTGTCTTTGGGCATTTCTAGTGGAATTTCTTTGTCTTTTTCAATTTCTTGGACCTGCTCTGTTGGCACTGATACTGTTTCTGGCTGAGGTGGAGTTATGAGGTCTTGTTCTTCAGAGGGAACTAATTTTTCCTCTGTTTCTTTGATCACGCCCTGTGGTTCAGTAGAATCAGGTTTTTACTTCTTGGAAGTCAGAAGGCGCTTCCTCCTCCCCACGACCCTTGTCTTTGCTTGTCTTTTTGGGTTTCTTTGTCTTTTTCTTTTCTTTGGTTTTGGAGACTCCAGTCTCACTCAGTGTTTCAGTGGTCTTCATAAGACCCTCCTCTGAAGGTAACTCACGCTCAGCTGTTGGGCTACGTGGTTCATCAGACTCAGTAACGTCCAAGACAGGGGTTTCTTCTGCTAGGGTAATGTCTAAACTTTCTTTTGGTGATGGTAAATCACTATCAATTTCTGCATGAGGTTCTGTTGGCTGAATCTCAGAAACCACACCAGCAGTTGGCTCTTGGGGCTGAATCTGAACACTGTCTTTGGGCATTTCTAGTGGAATTTTCTTTGTCTTTTTCAATTTCTTGGACCTGCTCTGTTGGCACTGATACTGTTTCTGGCTGAGGTGGAGTTATGAGGTCTTGTTCTTCAGAGGGAACTAATTTTTCCTCTGTTTCTTTGATCACGCCCTGTGGTTCAGTAGAATCAGGTTTTACTTCTTGGAAGTCAGAAGGCGCTTCCTCCTCCCCACGACCCTTGTCTTTGCTTGTCTTTTTGGGTTTCTTTGTCTTTTTCTTTTCTTTGGTTTTGGAGACTCCAGTCTCACTCAGTGTTTCAGTGGTCTTCATTTGACCCTCCTCTGAAGATAACTCACGCTCAGCTGTTGGGCTACGTGGTTCATCAGACTCAGTAACATCCAAGACAGGGGTTTCTTTAACTGGAGTAATTTCTGAATCTTCTGGCAGAGGTAGAGTTTCTTTATTTTCGCATACCATCAATTTCTGTTCTTCTGGTTTAATTTTAAGACTTGTTTCAATGTCTTTTGGTGATGGTACATCACTATCAATTGTTATTTCTGCTTGAGGTTTTGTTGGTTGAATCTCACAAACCTCCAAAGTTGGCTGTTGTGGCTCAATTTCATCAGAATCTTTCTTTGATTCCAGTGGGGTTTCTTTTTCCTCCTCAGCTGGTTGAACCACCTGCGGTGGTACTGTCACTGATTCCATCTCGGGCTGAATTTGAATTACATTTTGCGTTGATTCGTTTGTTAATTCTGTTTCTTTTGGTAGAGATTTTGACTGATCCGCGGAAACGGCTGTCTCTTCCTCATCCAACTTTTCAGTTTTGGAATA